GGTAGCGCGAGCGCTACGTGACGCGATCGGTGGCGCGCGAGTCCAGCGGAAAGGTGGACGAGCCCGCGGAGCAGGAGGAGGAGGCGGTTGACGTGGTGAACAGCGTTCTGGACGCTGACCCGAAGAGCTTCCGTGAAGCAATGCGCAGTGAGCGCAAAGAGGAGTGGCTCAAGGTAATCTCCGAGGAGTTGAGCGCTATCGAAGCGAATGGGGTCTGGAAGATTATCCTGAAGCCCAAGAGAAGAGAAGATACTGCATAATAAGTGGGAGTTCAAGACAGAACTGGACGCTGGAGGAGGAAGCGAGCGCTTTAAGGCGCGGCTGGTGGCATGTGGGAATGAGCAGGAGTTTGGGGTGAGCTACGGCCTGACGCTCGCCGCGGTAATAGAAATGAGCAGTGTGAAAGTGATATTGACACTGGCAAGAAAAAGGCGCGTTCCAGCGAAGCACGGCGACGTGCCCAACGCCTACGTGAAAGCGGACAAGGAGGCGGATCTGGACATCTTCATCCGCCTGCCACAAGGGATGTCGGTTCTGGTTGAGGTGCTGAAGATGCTGAAGGTCGAGAATAGCGACAAGTTGGCTCTGGAGATATAGAAGGCCCTGTACGGGCTGAAACAAGCGGGGCGACTGTGGAGTAAGCTTTTGCATCAAAAGCTCATGGATGTAGGCTTCAAGTAGAGCCTAACGGACATGTGCGTGTATTGCAGACTCAGTGAAGGGGTGTTGGGCGTCGTCGGAGTATATGTAGACGATCTCCTAGTCACTGGGACGCAACAAGATGCCCTAGATGCGTTCTTCGGCGAGTTGACCGGACTGGCAATAAAGGACCTTGGGACAGTCAGTAAGTTCCTGAGTATGCGTGTCACGTAAAGCGATGGTGACGGGTACGACTTGGGCCAGGAGGCTGGGATCGCCGAGATGTTGCGAGAATACGGAATGGAAATGGCAAACGGCGTGAGAGCGCCGATAGGGGCCGAATGGAATTTAACGGATGTGTCCGAGGTGTTGCCAGCCTCAGGTGGAAACGGGTCGGTGACCGTGAGAAGGTTTCAGTCGCTGGTGGGGAGTTTAATGTGGGTGGCGCGCTGTACGCGGCCCGATATTATGTTCGCCGTTCACAAGGCAACGCGACGGACTCATAGCCCGACTATGGGAGACTGGAAGGTCGCCAGCGAATTTTGAGGTACCTGGGAGGGATCAAGGGGCTCAAGCTGCGAATGAAAGGGAATAAAGACCCTGAGGAGGACTTGGATGTAATCACCTACAGTGACGCGGACTTAGCGGCTGATAGGAGCGATAGAAAGTCTGCTACCGGCGGGTTCGTTACCGTGGATGACATGGCGGTGAGCTGGACGTGCAGGAAGCAAAGGGGTGTCTCGCTGTCTACGATGGAAGCGGAGTACACCGCGGCCGCGGTGATGGCCGCTGAGCTGCTTGGAATTCGGCAGTTAATGGAGGAACTAGGAATAGCCTATAAGAGGCCGATGGCGCTCAGGGTAGATAACCAGGCTGTGTTGAAGTAGCTTGACGGGGAGAGCGCATCGATGAAGGCGAAGCACATTGATGTTCGCATCAAGTTCGTCGGGAATTACACCCAGAAGGGGCTATTGAAGAGTATTGGGAAAGCGAGCGCATGCCAGCCGACCTGTTGACGTAGGCGCTGGATGCGCCACGACTGATTGATCTTCGTGAGGAAGTGAGTCTGCACTAGGGTCGTAAATAGGCTCGAAAGAGAACGAAGACCAGAAGACCTGACCACGAGGGGTCATTTGAGAACACTTGGCACTGTCGGTGAGGAGGAGTGTTGAACAATTGTGGTCCAGAGATGAGAGGCACCGAGCAGCTGCGATCGCCTACGGTAGAAATCAGTTAGTTAGGAGCCATAAACCATAACTCACTCTCTCTTTTGCATAGCTACCCATAAGTGAACGAAGTGCAGCGTGACTGAGAAGAACACGCGTCAACAGTCCGCAGACGAGTGCAATCGCGCTCGTGTCCTACCTTTACGCCAATTTAACCGTATTGCACTACCGAATAACCTTAGTTATGAATTACTCTTTGTTATCAATTACACTTCAATGTGGCCAATCAGAAGCCGCCAAACGCTGAGTGGAAAAGAAGCCGTGCATCCTTAGTTATCAATTACACGACTTGACAGCCAGTAATTTGCGTACATTATTTAGTACTGGTCTCACTTCTCAAAGCCGCAGATGAGTCCAACGCAAAGAAAACGCCCAAAGGGGAGGCCTCGCCTACCTGGTGGCAAGGGCCGCCAAGCACCAACGAACACCATTACGGCGTACACTGCTTCTCACAAGCTGAGGGTACTAGAGTATCTAGACAAGAACGGTAGTATTGCGTCCGCAGTTCACAAGTTCTACCCTGATTTACCAGCTAGCAAATTTAACTGCCGCCGTATCCTCATTTATTCTTGGCGTCGATCTCTTCACAAGATCGTCGCTGCGTGTACAGTCCCTAGAGAAGCCAAGAAGATGAAGGCACGTTGTAGTGGTGTAGCTACCGCTCTACCTTACTCAGTAGAGTTAAAACTTGTTCGCTGGGTCGGGGACCTACGGGACGAAGGGGTGCCAGTCACACCAATGATGCTAAGGCTGCAGGCACTCGCAGAAGCTAACGAAGCCGGTATCCACGCGTTCACGGCATCCTGGAGTTGGCAGAGCCTGTTTAAAGGCCACCATCGCTTAGCCCTTCGAGCTAAGACCCGCCAGGGTCAAATTTGCCCTCCCGAGCTCGACCAGATTGCAAAAACATTTGCTAAAGAAGTACATGAGAAGGCACAAAGCCTTGGAGTCACCAAAATCTACAACGCGGACCAAACAGGTACATTTAAAAAAATTATTCTCGTTTGTCATTTGATTTGGACTAACGTTGCCTTATAACTTGTGAAGCTGTCAATTTTGAGTACTTACCTAGGAGGACTTTAGCCAAAAAGGGAATTAAAACGGTGTGGGTGAAATGTGGTGGGAAGACTAAAGAGAGAGCTACCGTCATGTTCTTGGGTGACTCCGAGGAAAACAAGTATGATCCATACGTCATTTTCAAAGTTCGTCCTGCTAAGAGCCCAGAAGCCCAGAGTGACAACGATAAGTGCCGTAACGGATTTGGCGCTTATATTTGGAAATCGATCTCTAAAGCCCAAGTCGAGACCGGAATGCAGATCTACGGAAACGGAAAAGGTAACACTATTGTTTTTTTGCAATGAGAATGGCTTATTAACTGAATATTTTCATTACATTTTAGGTTGGTGGGGAGGAAAGCTAACCGTAGCGTGGCTTCGCTACCACTTTGGCTTGCGGCCGAATCGCGACCAGCCTGTGTTGCTTTTACTCGATGACTTCTCAGGTCACTGGACCACAGAGGTCATCGAGTATGCAAAGGCGGTCAACGTCACGTTGATGAAAGTGCCCCCAAATGCTACCTCAGTTTGCCAGCCGGCCGACGCCACGTGGAACGGTCCTGTTAAGCAAAGGCTACGAAACGCTTGGATTCTCAACCTTAAAAAGCAGCTAGCCACCCGTGTTGCTAGCGTACCGTTCAAGCTGAAACCTCCAGATCGAGCTCTACTATGTGAGTGGGTTCGAGAGGCATGGGGAGATTTGACCGCCTCGACGATACGCGCCGGATTTCGCCACTGTGGTCTAGTGCAGCATGATGAAGATGTCTTCGACGCACCAAGACTTATAGAGGCCTTACAAGCGGATGAAGAGATATTTTAAGCTATGGTACACTCCGATTTGATCGACACTAGTGTAGAGCAGTTTACGCTAGACGACGACTTTGATGATCTTTTTCGTGAGCTTGCTCAAATTCAAATTTAAATAGACTGTTTGTTCGAAGATACCGATAGCCGGGACACGCAATTTCTGGTCTCTGCACTGCAGATTGGGTGTAATGCATAACTAAGGTAATTCGGTATATGTACACGTATAGAAGTCGATGCTATGTAATCTCAGTCCGGCAAAATAACGAGTGCCTTTAATAATTCGACCACAGATTCGGTAAAAAAAAACGATGCTCCTCTTCATCTCAGTTTTATAGCTAGTTTTACGCTCCGACCATGATAAAAGGGAGGAATGTTCCATCTGCGAAGCATAATAAAACAATGCTCACCGTCATTTAGTGCAGCGCTAAAATCTTTCACCTCCAGCAGACGAGATAACAAACTCCGCGTCCTGTAGAGAAGAGCCCTGAGCTTCGCAAAATAGCATTTACTTGTTGGGATTTGCTTGGAAATTAATCTTGTGCGCTTGATGAAGCCATCCTTCCGATTTGCCTTTTTTTACGAGCTCGATATTTGAAACGACCTCATTTTAACGTGTAATACCATTAATACGCACCTTTAAAGGGCGTTGTAGTATTCGCAGACATTTTTCGACTGGAACATTTCATGTGTCGCTACAAAAAGACTAATGCAGAATTGACGGTGAATTTGAGAGCTCTTATCCAGGTATTTCTACTGCTTTGAGAGCTCCAGACGTCCCCTTGGTGACGCCGTGGCTTCAAGCACCTGTTGTTAACGTGACCTTCAATGACAAATATAACGCCCTACTAGAAAAAAGCCGCGTTGTACTACAATGATGTAGTGCGCGGAATTCTATTAAGTTTTATACGCTATTTTAAATTTACGAAGTCAAGTGAAACTGAAGGTGATTAAAAAAAACTGCATTTTTTTAACTGAAACTTATAAACACAAAGTTTTAAAAGTACATTTAACAATAATCGAAATGAAGTGGGATCAGGAGACAGAGGTCGGAAACAATTTTAAAAATTAAAGAATTGTTGGGGTTTTGCAATGCTCAATTGAAATATTTTTGTGTCAGTTTTTTAAGAAAAATACAAAATAACATTACCGTATCTTACTTTTATCACTTTTATTATCAGCCAAAAAAATATAGACGCAATAAATGATTTGTCTGGGATTAATGGTTTCCGGAATCCGGTCCGAAATCCACTGTCGCCGAAGGGTCGTCGCAACCATGAGCGAGCTACAGCTCATCGTCGAGCACCTGAACAAGGAACCGTTCCGTCTGGGCTTAACGCTTGTGGCTTTCGATGAAAAGAGCAACTTCGAGTTGCTTCAGATCCTGCACGAGGTTTTCGTGGAGATCGATCCGACGCGGCACTCAGGCGTGGATCTTCGGGCCGAGGCGGATGAGGCGCGAGCTCAACGCTATTTGGAGTTCCTACAACTTCTCAAGTTCCCGCTTCCTCGAGATATCGACGGGTTCCGAGAAGCGTTGGTGCATGGAGATCGACAAACTATCTACACGCTGTTGCACTGGGCACTCAAGAGTCTGTCGGCTCATCAGAAACGAGCGTACCTCGGTCGCTTCCTGGCTCCTCTCAATGTACCTCAAGAGTATTTCGGTGATGGCTGTAGGTTTAAACGACTGTTGCTCATCTCCGTCTCTTTTAGGGTCTAACGCGTGTGTGGCTACCATGATTTAGCGCTAAATGCCATGTACGAGCACTACCAGCAGCTTCAGAATCAGTTTAAGGCCGTGCACAAGGAAGTGGACCAGCTACGTGCTTCCAAGTCTCGTCCTGGTGAGCTACGGCGTGAGATCTCGCAGTTAGAAGAGGAGTCTCATCAACTCACCGAGAAGATTGCTAACTTGAAAAAGAAAACAACATCCGACCCTGGATTCCAGGAATTATTGTCTGCTACGAGTGCACTGCGCAAAGAGCAGGAAGAGCAGGCCAAACTGGCAGATCGAAAGCGTGACCAGTTGCTGTCCCTGTCACTGGCCGAGAAACGCGCTCGAGAGGCTGAAGCGCGACTTCAGGACCTCCGAGCGTCACTATCGCAAGATGCCACACCGGAGCAGCTCTTTGAGCGTCTACAGGCTCAAGTGACTCGCAACAGCGACGTTCTCACCACCATGTTCCCGGCCGAGTTTCGTACCCAACAAGAGACTTTGCAGCGTCTGGAACGGACACTCAGTGAGCCTCCTAAGACGGAGCACGACATTGCGGACATGGAGGACGAGGTGCAGGCGCTAAGACGTGCCATTCAACAGTTCCAGACTCAAATCGCCGATGCGCAAATAGCCCAAGGGAGCGGGGAAGAAGACAAGCTCGCCGTCTTCCGTCAACACGCCAACCTTCAGGCGCGTAAGCTGGCCGAGAAAGAAGAGGAGCTGGAGCAGCTACGAGCCGAGAAGCAGCGACTTGTCCGTAGCACGGAAGAGCTGGAAGCCAAGCTGGCTTCCATCTCAGGTAACAAGTTTATGAGTCGTGAAGAGTTTAAACAGTACGCCACCACTTTACGCAACAAGACCAACCAGTACAAAAAGGTCAAAGCGGAACTGGCCGAGCTCACAGCCGAGAGTGTGGTGCTCCATCGCACAGAGCAGCTTCTGAAGAGTAAGGACGCGGATCTGGAAGGCTTCCTACGCGATCTGGAACGCCAGAAAGGAGTCAGTGGATTCCTTGCGACGCAAGATAAAATCGACGATATCTCGGTGCAAAATGCCCGAGTGAATGCTCTTAAAGGCGAGACGCTTGAAGAGATCTCGCGCGTGGTTACCGACATAAACCAGGCGCTTAAGGAGCGTAAGAACCAGTTGGCTCCTCAGATCAAGGAGCTGCGCTCAGTTCGTCAACGTTATCAGGAGATGGAGCAGGTTTATCTGGAGCGTAAGGCTCAGTATGACCACACCGCCGTCGGACTGGAGGCGGAGCGACTGAAGCTTGAACAGGAGTGTGCCGCCTTCCAGGAGGACGCACTACGAGAGGAGTCTCAGTTCCACTTGCTGCACTGCCAGCTACAGCTACAACAAGGCAAAGCTGACAAGGTCGCGCAGGAAATTGAGTTCGAACAGGGCACCTCGAACGCGCGTCTACTGCGAGACATTCGCTCTTTCCAGGAGCTGTACAAACACAAAGTGGCGCAACAAGAATCGCTCACCAAGGAGCTGCGCAAGCAACAAAAGTCGCTCAAGACGTCTGCACCGGCCAAGAAACAGCAGCGGGAGATGTTCGAAGGCTTGCTGCAACTTCTCTCGTGCAAAGCTCGGCTCGCTCAGCAGGAAAACCAAGGAAACGCCAACGCCAACCGAAACGGAGGTGGCGCAGGACAAGATCTCTTCGACGGACGCACGGACATCGCGCACTATGACGTCGGTGGAGCCAACGTCATGACTCTTGAGGCTTAAGTGAAGGAATAAGATTTTTATTTTGCATAATAAATTTTAGTTTGTGTTATTAGCTGTGGGTTATTGTGTTTTCTTTAACTGTGGAAACCCAAGCTCTCGAGCTCACGTTCGAGCTCGGTCTTCTGCTTCTCGAAGCGTCGAGCGAGCTCCTCGCGATCGCGTTCGTAGTCTTCCTCAAGTTGACGAAGTTTCTGCTGCGCTGCGCGTAATAAAGCCTCTGTAGCCCCCGCAGCACGAATCGTCGCCGACTTCGAAGAGGACGACGTAATCCGTCGGAAATATTTCATGAACGACGGCTCGCTGCTGTCCGCTTCGGGCTTCGTAGCTTCTCCTTGGCTCCCATCGTGACTACTGCCGCGACTGCTAGTTCTCGAGTAGGACACAGGGGCTACCGGCACTGGCGGTGGACGTGCTGTCCCCGTAGGGATCATGGTGCCGTACAGATCGCTAGATGTGATATCGCGTTCACGGGTTTCCGAGCTGGTGCTCTCCATCGTAGAGTTAGCTGACTTGTTATCGTCACCTCGGTATACCATCGTACCGCATCCTTCTTCGTCCACTGGAGCACCTGAGAACACTGTGGTTCCCCCACCAAAGCCATTGAACCTGACTGACGTAAAGCCCACCGCCGTGTCGGAGCCTCCAAAGCCTCCGAGCCCTCCAGTGCCGTTAAACATGGAGCCATTGCGTAGCATCGTACTGAGATCGGCAACCGACAACGAGCCATCCGGACGACCAGTAGCCGCCCCACGGAACTCAGCTTCATCCTCTGCGCCTCGTAGTCGAGCTTCAACTACAAGCTCCAAACTCTGTTCTACCAGCTCTTGGAGAACAGGCAAGCCGGCCATTCTACCTCCACTAGCTGCACGGTTAGAGCTTGCACGTAGTCGCTCTACGTTGCGAGCGATGAAAGGATGACGCAGCAATTCTTCAGCTGAAGCTCGTTCCTGTGGGTCTTTCTTCAAACACACAGCAATGAAGTCTCGGAATTCTGCCGAGTAGTTGTTAGGCTCGCGAAGCTCAGGTGGTGCTCGGTTCGGGATCAAAAAGATGGCACGCATGGGGTGCATGTGGGCGAGTGGTGGCTCTCCCTCAGCCAGCTCCAGAGCAGTGATACCCAGTGACCAGAGGTCTGCCTTGCAGTCGTACTGAGCTTCTTGGATCACCTCTGGGGCCATCCAAAAGGGCGTTCCGATGACTGTACGACGCTTACCAACTGTAGCAGTGAGCTGTGCGGACACACCAAAGTCTGCCAACTTGGCTACACCGTCGCCGTTAAGTAGCAAGTTTCCTGCTTTAATATCACGATGGATGAGGCCCTGAGAGTGCAAGTGAGCGAGTCCCAGCGCGACGTTAGCACAGACGGCGGCGATCTCCGCTTCACTCAGCACGCGACGTCCACGTAGAACATGCAGGTCAGCGAGCGAGCCAGCAGCGCAGAATTCCATAGCGATCCAGAGCTGCGCCTCGTACGAGAAGCTGCCACGGTAGTGCACTACAAAAGGAGACTCGCATCGCTCCAAGATGCGGATCTCACGTGTCAGCTCGTCGAACGCAGCGCGGTCTTCACTCTCCACAGGAACCACCTTGAGTGCCACAACCTCGGCATTCGACTTGTGCACAGCTTTGTAAACCTTGCCATAGGACCTAAAGAATCGCCACGTGAGTACTCTTACTTTTGTGGAAGTCAAATGTCTTGGCTTACCCTTCTCCAATGCGCTCCAGCACCTCGTAGACTTCTTCGGGGTTCTCGTTGCGCTGGATGCTCGCCATGGGTGCTGACAAGCTCGCCCCTCCAAACGCAGAATTAGCTATGAAGTGCACAACCAAAGAGCGTCGAGCTCTTGCTGGATTTAGCCTTGATACTAACTGCCCCAACGCAAGACAAGAATACACGGCAGACTTCAAGGACACACACGACCAAGGTCACGTGATGGCTATTTCAAGCTGACAGCAAACAACGGACACACAAGAACTCTAGGAGACAACGTCGTACGTCCTTGTTATCGCCCAGGACGCCGGGGGTAAACTACTCTGCACGCTCCTGTCTGCAACTCATGAGCTGGTGGGATCTAGCGCTCTACTTACAGGACCATAAGCTCCGGGTTCTCCATGTAAGCCTTAAACGCCTGTAGGAACTGACCGGCAATGACGCCGTCCACCACACGACGGTCCGAAGACAGCGTCACGTTCATGAGCGTGGCGATCCGCGGCTCCGGGTTGACGCCCTCCACGATCTCCAGAGGCGGCAGGACCTCCTTACGACCGCCACCCACGGCGAGAATGCAGGCCTGAGGCGGGTTGATCACAGCGCGGAACTGGTCGATACCGAAGCTGCCGAGGTTGGACACAGTGAAGGAGCCGCCCTGGAACTCCTCGGGCTTGAGTTTGTTTTGACGCGCGCGAGTCACGAGCTCCATAAATATGCTGTTGACGCGGCTGAGTCCCAGAGTGTCAACTTTTGGCACAATGGGGGTGATGAGACCCGTCGGAGTAGCTACAGCCACCGACACGTCCACCGACGCATTGGGCTGCACGCTCTGCGTCTTAACATCGAAGAAGCAGATGGCCTCGGGCACGTCACGCAGCGCTAGCGCCACAGCCTTGAGGATAAAGTCGTTCATACCGACCTTGACGTCGTGTTTGGTCTTCAAATGCTTGCGGAACTTCAAAATGCTGTCGATCTCGCAGTCGATGCTCGTGTAGCTGTGCGGCACCTCCTGCTTGGAGGCGGCCAGGCGTTTTGCGATGATCTTGCGCATGTTAGACAGCGGCAAGTCCTCGTACTCAGCGTCCGCAGCGACAGTGGACGTGGCCACAGACTGCGCGGCTGGAGCAGCGCTTGCGGACTTCGCAGCCTCCTCAAGAGGCGAGTGGTTGAACTCAGGAAGCAGCGAGCGCTTGCCCAAGAACTTAATGAGCGGCACGCGGCCACTGTGGCTCGACTCTGCAGCAGGTGTAGTAGAAGCAGGAGTAGGCTCAGGCTTAGACTCAGCCACAGGCTCAGTGGCGGAAGGAGCTTCGGCCGAGAGATTGGCAAGCGCGCCGCTGTCTAGCAGCTGCTTGTACGTGTCCATGTCCTCCACAGTGTAGGCGAGCAACGCACCAATGGGAAGGTCAGCCGAGCCCTCTGGGCAAATGATCTTAGCCACCACAGCGTCGTCCTGCATCTCGTAGTCCACGACGGCCTTGTCCGTCTCCACTTGGCACAAAACTTCGCCAGCGTGCACTTCCTCGCCCTCTTTTCTAAGCCACGCGGACAGCGAGCCCGTCTCCATAGTGGGCGACAGCGACGGCATCGTCAGAGGGGACACACTCTCGGGAAGAGACGAGAAGGCGCGACGCAGCAGAGGCACCACGCGACGCTCGGCCGACAGCAGCGAGCGGCTCAGACGCAACATGTTGATCGGTTTGTGGCTTGACCAAAATGTAGGAGTGAGGGGCCAACCAAGCACCAAACGAGTGGCCAATCCTAGGGCGTTTTTCGTGTTTGTGTGGATGTTTGTATGGAATGGATCGACATACCGGTAGACAAACGGGTCTTGATGGGTGTGATGCACAGAGGATGTGATGCTACAGCGTTGATATCCGCTTCACTGGAGCCTCCAGTGGAAGCTTTTAAAAGTAGCAAGATGACATGTGAACATGACCGTCAAAGCAGCAGAGAAGCCCGCCCGAACATGTATGTGCACTCAGTCGACGCCATATCAATCGCCGACAAAAAATAAAGTACTAGCGTTAGCTCAAAATATGTTTTTTTTACTTCTCTCTCTTAAGAGTATTTAACTTTAAAAAAACTTTATTAGTAGATTTTTTTATTTTTTCGCTTGTCCAAAATTGTTTTTTTGTTTTACTTTTTCATGTAGCGAAAAAGAAAAAAAACAATTTTGGACAAGTACCTTAACAAATACTTTGGAGTAAAGACTACTTACGTAGTAGTATTTGAATAGAATATATTCACAGATCTTTGTCAACTTTTATTTCTTTTGGTGGTTGACAAAGCGTAAGACAACCAACGCGAGCAGGCGATACAGCACGATGAATCCCAATACGAAGCCAAAGTTTTCCCAGATCTCACTGTGCTTCATTGCGAAAACGTCCCCGATGTAATCCTTCCGTATTCTCGGGGAGCGACGGTGGTGCCCCTGGCATCCAATTTCCGATCCATCACCGTCACCCGGGCAGTCACCGAAGACCAGGGAAGCGACCAAAGCCAGCAAGTACTTGTGCGGTGTAATGTGGAACAGCCACTTGTAACCTCGAGGGATTGAACCCCCGGGAGGGTTAAACCCAATGAACAGGAAGAAGATCATTTGAATCAGCGTGCCAAAGATCGTAGCCACTTCGACAGTCGGCATAAGATACGACATCAGCTGTCCGAAATACGCATGCCACAGCACGTGCAAAGAGAGATGAAACCAGTAGGTGAAGAATCTGGCCACTCCAGTGAGCCCAACCATCGGATAGTATGGCGCCAGAAGCAGCATCGTGCTGAGGGATCTCCACCACCGTTGAGCCCACAAAGTACCAGAGCGCATTGTACGTCTGAGCAGCTCGCTCGCGATAGAACACTAGCCGATCCTGAGACGTCATTGGCATCACGCTGCTGAAAGTGATGAAGCCGAAGAACCCAGTCGTGCAGTACAGCATGCCCATACCCGAGTTGATACCGGCGTACGAAGTGTACTCCGCGTTAACGTAAGTGACACCGAACATCAGACCGAGTGTAAGCGCCAGGAAGAAGCGCGTCAAGTTGTACGATGCTGTGCGCCAGTACATGATGAAGAAGCGCTGAATCAGGAGCTTGGCTTGCGTCAACTCCGACGCGGCGCGTTTACCACTGTACTCTAAGAGAGGCACCAACGGTGACGGACGCGATACGCCTTCACGGTCTAGGTTTGCTTGGAGGAGCTCAAAGTGTTTACTCGACTTGAAGATTTCCACAAAGTCGGTCTTGTCGCCGTTCGTGTTGCCCGCACCGGCACCGATCACCTCCAACATCCACGTTGCAGGGTTGTAGCTGTCCTCTAGCTTCGCCACACTATCGATAGATTTAAAGTACGCGATCACTTCGCTCGCATTCTTGCCTAGCTCTCCACCGAACACCAGCTCGCCACCGCGCTTCAGCAACAAGAGGCTGTCGAACACGCTAAACACCTCGGTCGACGGCTGGTGGATTGTACACACCACGGTACGCCCCGTGTTCGCCACCTTGCGTACGCCATCCATGATGAACTTGGCAGAGCGTGCATCCAGGCCACTCGTCGGCTCGTCCAGGAACAGCACGCTCGGTTGAGCTGCTAGCTCCACGCCAATAGTCAATCGCTTCAGCTGTTCCACGGAGCTGCCACGGACGATCTGGTCGGCGATCGGATGCAGGTCCAGCAAGTCCAAACACTCGTCCACAGAGTCATACTTGAAGCTGTTGGGGACGTCGGCTCCCTGGCGTAAGAATGCACTGAACGTGAGCGCCTCGCGGATAGTAGACGACTCGGAGTGGATGGCCATCTGCTCGCAGTAGCGTGGATCGACGGATAGCGAGGTCGGTGGCGGGGTGGCCGTTTAGTAGAATCTGGCCGGTGATCTTGCCTCCCGTCTTGCGTCCGGCGATGACGTCCATCAGTGTCGTCTTGCCGGCACCCGAGAATCCCATGAGCGCCGTGATGGTGCCGGGTAGGGCGTATCCGCTGATACCCTTCAGTAGGTCGATGGTTTCCTTTGGGTTGGCCGGGTCGGGCACGGTGTACCGGAGATCTTTAAATGCGACAGTGACCGGCACGAAGTGTTTCTCTCGCGGAGGTAGTACCGACACCATGGTCGCGTCCTCTGCGGGTGATCCACGAGGCGTACGCGCTAAACTGTAGCCCTCGGAAGCACTGCTCGTGTTCTCCGGGTCGAGCGTGACATTCTCGGGACACTCGAAACGGTAATACTCCAGTGAAATATACGACGGGAACATGAACAAAACATAGGCTACCGCCATGAAGCCCACGCCGTACCACAACCAGAACTTCTCAGTCGGCACTTCGAACGTTGTCAAGGCATACACCCCCATAGTCATGTTGTAGTTGGCGCAGTAGTCGACGTTGTTGTACACACAAGTGTCAAACCTCTCGTCGGTGTACTGATTCACGGCTAGAGCTCGAACTCCCCAGGCCATGGGGTTGATCCAGTAGATCCAAATGAGGTAGTCTGGGATTTGGTCCTTGGTGATGACAAAGCCGGCGAACACGACGAACAAGAGGATGGAAACCACCGACACGGGGTAGGCCACATTCAGGTCTGGGGAGGCGCAGGAGAGGAAGAAAAAGCACGCGGTCATCGCTAAGTTCGTCATGAACATCATCAGCTCGAAGAACAGGAAGGCGTCAACGGTTGGCACATACCCACACATCCAGTAGACGATGGAGCCGAAGCACAAGCTCTCGGCTAGACCCAACGGGATCTGACTCACCGAGTTGGAGAGCACAAAGGACGCGGTACGGAAGAAATTGGCTCGACGCTGTTTGTAGAACACCTCGCGAGCCGCCATGAAGATGGGAAGCTGCGCCTGTTGTCCAAGCGATACGAACATGACAGCGTTGACGATAATGCCTATCATCAGCTGCGCGTTGGTCTCGTCGATCTGGTAGTAGACGCTCGAGTACAACAAGCCCATCAAGACGATCATGGCGGAGCGACCCACTAGGAACGCTCTGTCGCGCATGGTGAGAGTGATCTGACGCTGCACTACAGCGATGGTGCTGCTCCAGAAGTTCTGGTGGAATTCCGGGGTCGGATCGAAGTGCGTGGTCTTGTCTTCGATCAGACTCCTCTGGACCGGACTGTGGAGATCTTCTTCCATTTGCTTGTGCATGGCTGAGCGACGGAAGGCGTCGGCATACTGACTGCCCAAGCGGGGGATGCTACAGGACGGAAGCGAGTTCACCTCGTACTGCGTCTGCTTGTCGGTGCCCAAATCCAAGAGGAAGTCAGCGACGTCACGGTGCGGAGGACACTTGAACCCCAGACTCTCGAAGTAACCCAAAGCCTCAGCACGTGGGCCATGGTACATGACGTAGCCCTCGTTCAGAATCACCACATTGTCGAACAGCTCGAACACCTCAGGCGACGGCTGCAACAAGGAGATCACGACTGTCTTACGGAACTTCTTGGCGAGACTGCGCTGCGCGGCGACGATGTCGAAGGTGGCAGCACTATCGAGACCCGTGCTGATCTCGTCCATCATCATAACGAACTTGTTGCCGAACGCCATCTCGCCAGTGGTCACTCGCTTGCGCTCTCCTCCAGACACACCGCGGGTCATGGCGTCTCCGACGATGGTGTTCTGACAGTTGTCGAGTCCGAGCTGCTGGATGATGATGTCCGGGTAGTACTTGCACATGGCTCTGGCAGCGTCGAGTGCAGCCTTGTTCTCCTCGGGTGTACCCATAACAAAATGCTGAGCGTCTTGCTCTGAGAAGACTCCACCACAACAGATGTGTGCGAACTCGAGCGTCTCCTTAACTGACAATGACGGATAGTGCTCGTCTCGCTGCGTGACGTAGAAGACGAACTGTGGCAGACGTCGGAGAAGTTCGTTGGACGGTGTACCGTTGTACGTGACTTCACCCTCAATTGTGACGTTCTTGTTGGCGGGAAACCTACCGCTTAGTAGCTTCATGAGCGAGGATTTACCAGAGCCAGGCTGACCCAGCACGAGGTTGAGGGTGCCTGGCTTGAAGACTCCACTGACGTTCTTGAGGATCTGCTTCTTGACGGTGTGCTTCTTGGCGCATATACCTCGGACGCTCTTCATGAGCTCGTTGGTGAGCGTGGGTAGCTCGACCTTGATGTCGCTCTCGTCCTTGACGACGATATCGGCAGAGAGAGAGACATTTTTGAAGCGGACCTCCATCTGCGGTAATGCTCTGCCTAATGCCTTCTCCATGCGACAGGCGACGTGGTCGTGGAGCGCCTGTGACCCTTGTGCCATTAGCGTCTTGCCATTGTCATACTCGATGGAGGCGCAGATTGGCTGGCCTGAATTTGGCTAAGCTTTCGCCACCATGAGTGTTGCTGCTCTTAAAAACTGAGGAGCAAAATCAAAAGTGAGCTGTCAAAGCCACGGTAACACTTCATGCTTTCCTTTCACTAGCTGAGAAATTATTTACATGAACTGCAAAAGCTTGAGAAATTTATTAAAACGCGATGCCTTTCAGTTTGATTGTTGGTTTTTGGCATAATGTGTAAGGCTATCTCCACTCGAGTTGCTATCGGAGTTGCTATTGCTAACACCTGCTCCGCTAAAATGTTTCTTGAATCGTTCGCTGTGGAACAATCGTGCACCTCGTTTTCGGCCCCGGTATGGCTTAATAACCTGCACAATCTAATGATTGCGCCACATGCATTGCGCAAATGAGTTGCCCATCTCCTTTGGACCAAATAACCTCAATGGTATTCCCCTTTTCGAGGAGGGATGAAACGCCGCACTTCCGCCACGATGTATCAGCTCAATCACTTCACCATACAACAGCTCATTATAAATTTTGTCGCAAAACGCCATGGCACGTCGCCCGTCCGCCTTTTCTACGTTGAATCTCGCCAATAAGCAAACATTGTGCAGGAAGGCAGCCACAGAGCCATCATGAACACTGAATACCAGTGTGATTCCATCAGTTTCGTATGGTCATTGTCGATACGTCTTGTCAACCTTCTGAGCACCACTTCATCGCTGTATAAATATTGACGGGGGTATACTTCTCGCCTTTGTAAAACAGAGAGTGTGTCGAAGATGGATTTGAGAGTTGTACTTAATTAAGGTAATACAAAGTAGTACATTTGGATTCCATCTGTTCCTCTATAAATATTCGCAGCTCGTAAACTCTATATGGTCCACCCCGCCGAATACGAGGTGCATGACTGTATCCTTCATGTACGGTTTTCGCTAATCGGATAATCTCCGTCCGCAACGAACGATGCAAGAAGCTGCTTTACGGATGCAGGCGCTATGTACAATCTTCACTCTAAATGTAGAATGGCGTTACCGCAACCATAAATACAACACCACGACACGAATTTTGGCAACTTTAGAGCGAAACGCAACCACAACGGGGCATGCACTCGGTATTATATTTTAATTTACCCAAGACCATGTGGCCTTCGTCGATAGGTTTGTCTAAATTTAGAGGTTCTAGACTGATGTGAGCCCCATGTACATTATGTGGGACACAAGTATTCGCACACTTTGGGACTTCTCGATTTGCTGGAAGATCTCGATCATCGCTATGGATCAGAAGGCTTTACCACTTGAGTTGGTTCGTGCAAGGCTTAGTGAGCTGGAGAAGATGAGGACGGTGCTCGTTAACATACAACGCAGTATGGAGGAAATCATGGCAGCTCAGATGGAGTTTCAGGGTCGTATTGATGAGGAGGAAGCTTGCCTTTACCAGCTGAAGGCGGATTTCTTCGAGGAGGGGGCAGCTCAAGATGACGATCTTTCGTTTGGAGTTTTATTGGAGATGGCTATTCACAAGCTGAATGCATAATGCAGTGAACACGGTCTGTATTAAAGACTTAATTGAGGCTAAAACACTTACTCGAGTTCTTTTTGTAGCTTCTGTAGAGTCTTGCTTGTTGTGGCAGCGTCGGATTCGGAGATAGGTTGTTCCTTGGACAGATGCATAATGGCCCAAAGAATTCGTAGGCGCATCACTTTGATGTCGTGCTTGGTGACGTCGTAGCTTTGCTGTGTGGTGTTTCCAGTCAGATAATTGTAGCATTGTGCTATAACTAATACGCCGCAACTAGATCCATCTGGTTGTTGCGGTGAAAACACCCACTCAACGTCCTGGATCTCCAATTCCACATCCGGCATCGAGGACGCGTGCCACCGCTCGAGGAACCCGCGTAGGCCCTCTTTTGCTTTGCTTTTTGGGTGATTCACTTGTTCAGTAACACCCTCCCAGATCGTCATCATGTCCTTGTGATAAGAAGCATCAATCAAAGGCTCGTACATGTGTACAAATAGTCGTACACTAGTTGCCGTCGTGGGAAAACGCGTGATAATGACTCCCCAATGATTGCCGTCCAGGTGTACTGCGTGGAGGACAAAGTTAAGTTCTCCGATAGATACTTTTGGTGTAGAAGGCCACCCGATATCCCACATCAGTGACGAGATCACGTAGCAGCCACCAACAACCCCTCCAATTGTTCGTAAACAGAAGTCTATGTGACTGTCATTAAGCCATCCCCGACATAGACCACCGAGAATGTTTTCGAAAGTGATCGATCCATTTCCGTGCAGCGTCCGAAATTCCGTTAGTAAGCGACTTGATGCAAGCTTTCCAATCACTTCGTTGGCCAAGTCTTGATGGCGATTGGAGATAGAAACTTCTTGAAAGCCTTGAATCTTTGTCTATTCTGCTAAGAGGCTCACATTTGATGGGATGATTCGCCAGTTTTGCTCTAGCCATTTCCGGTCTTCAATCCACGTTCGTCCCTTTAATTTGACATCGTGGAATCCAGTCAAAGCTCCTACAAACTTGCTGCGAGATGTTGTAGATGTAGAGCAACCATTCCGTTAGTGCAACCCGGTTGTAGCAATCATAATATGGCAACCTATTTGATAAAACAACCTTACCTGCTAAACTTCCAGAGTTTCGGATCAATAGTGGCGACAATATCAAGGACGATCCCTTGATTCTTCGCGCTATCTTCGAGTGGACCCGGCGAGTCCTGTTCTTTCCATGCTGTCGTGACGGCGGCTTGGAGTGATCGACTGATATCAATTGGAACTGCAAATGCGTGCATGTAGTCCGTGTGCCGCATTGCTTCCCACCGACACTCGATGCTACGGGCTCTCAAATAGGGATCTTCAAGCTGAACTGGATACTTGGCAAGTGTATCCATGACGAATTTCAAGTTTTCCGTGTTCCTTGCCCAACGTACAAAGCGATCAAGAGTCACAGTAAGCCCAGCTGGGTATTTGTGAATAGCTAGACGGGGTTGACCGGATGTCAACGTAGTTTGGCGGAGCTGCTTCGTCGTCACCCTGGAATTACCGCGACGTTTCGGCCGAGGAAGGCTTATGATATCAACAGCACGGCTTGCAATTGTTGGTACTTCTGGATCTGGCGGCGACATATTAGAAGTATCATTGACGCGTTCTGGGCTTGCACTGTCCCCTTCAGACTCAGATGCTTCATACTCCGATGCACCTCCACTATCCGTGCAGGCTTCTGTAGAGGGCGAAGCGAATTCTAGCTCGTCCATAAGTTTCGCTGTTTCCATTGCCTCAAGTGGGTCAAGCGAGGAGAAATCGTCTTGATCGTCATCGTCTTCGTTACTACTACCGTCATCGCGATTACCATTGACTTCGCGGTTGAGACCAATCTCCACCGTGTCCTTCCAGGCAGAGAGTTCTTGATAGAAATCAGCGCTTGATAGACACGATAAATGTTCCAGCAGAGGCTCTAACACTGCTTTTGCGTATGAATACTTTTCCGATGACGACAAAACCACCTGGTTGGCACGCTCCTTCCTGTGAAGGCGAACGTAGGCAATCTCTTTGGGTATCTTAGAAGCTGTCATACAGGATCCGTGATCATCACTTTGTTCCGCAACCTTGTCATCCTCCGGCAACTTTACTTTCGGCGACCTTAACTTGGACATTTGCACAATAGGTTTCAGTAAGTCGGCCGCCGCAGCAAGGTCTTCTTTTGCTTCTAAGGCCACCGACAAACTCCATCGTTTGTCAATCGAAGTAACAGGTAACATATTGAGCCGAAGTCCAGATTCTGCCAAATGCATCATGTGTCGGCAAGGTAGATGATGACTCTTGAAGAATAAGCAGGTACATGTCCATTCTCCATCGTTGCACGCAAATGTTTCATTCCCACAGATGACCTTCCAAAACGAAACACTTCCAGCAACTCGTTTGCACGAAGCGCCTGTCATAAGGTTGACGAAGCGCTCCCACTCCTTCTTGACCGTCGAAAATATACCCGCAGACAGTCTATTAGCCACAGCTCGCAAAAACTTTGGCACCGTCTTGGGAGCACGTGAAGTTGAGTGCTGATGTCCAATAGTGAAAACAATTTTCTGCGTAATTGTCATTTGATGCTGAAGCAACCCAGCAATAGTCTTGTCAATTCTCGTTTTGTGACCAAGCAGCATCTTGACTTGATTCCAGTTTGACTCCATCCTATTCGTTGTGGTATTGCCAGCAGTAAAAGCCTTCCCTCTAGTAAAATTGGCCCACATGTCACGGCACGAGTTCCAGTTTTTATCGAAGTACGCAAAAAGGCTTCGCGCTTCTGGTCCTTACAATACTGCCGCATTGCATCGTAGTAGAAGTTGTATCTGGTACTAGAGGTACTAACATAAATCAAAGGCAATCACAAATTAGCCTCCACATACACGGTGAAAAGCAACCTTACTCACCTGTAAAGTAGTTTCATCATTTGGACCAGCAGTTCCTCACATTGCGAAACTCGTAGGCGATACAACGGACGCTTCATTACCTTCTTCCAGTAACTAATCGCATGGAACTGACATAATAGAACCTTGGCTCTCGGAAAGGCATCCTTTAATACGCCCCACTCAACAAAATCTTTGTCAATCACCACCGATTGAATGTGCTTCCAGCCCGAGTTCTTCTCCTTGAAGTAGTCCAAAATTCTGGACATTGTCAGTGCTTGCTCGTTGAGACAAATAAAATCAAAACCCGGAAACCCTCGACCCGTAGCTGTGGTGACAACCAAACTTCCTAAAGGTCAAAACCAAAACGAAGTTGAGTTAATCATACAGCAACTTTAAGTAGATAAGGTTGTTATACATCAGAATAAAGTTACAGCAACCATAGCTGTACGCACCCAGATGATAGCCCAGATTATTCGTTCCGTGGGTAAAATCCATCGCTAACGTCTCACCCCATCGCTCGAACATTAGCTTCTGCACTTTTGTCTGCAAAACGATCCCGGTTGTAATGCCAAT